AACACTATACGAGCATGAGTGGGCGACCCTTGTCAGAAAAACTGATCGAATGTGTTACCTTACATCTCCAAAAAGCAAACTTCTGGACATATTCAATGCCATACGTCTAAACATTTGTAGCACACTGGAATATTCATTACAGTTATTGGTGGCCATGATGAATAAAACATGTTGAAATTGAACACGGTCAGCTCAGATTGCATCGTATGATAAGATTAGGATGTTTTACAAACACCCAAGTTGGTTCTGAATATGTTGATCATGAACATAAAAACATTGCACAAATATGTCAACTAATGGAAATTAAATCAAGGTTACTCTGTCCATATCAAGTCTTCATCGTACGATTCCAGATATTGGTACATCATGAGCTTGTGTTTATGTATCACTACCATGCAGACTGACTGAGTATGGGATAGTGCTAAAAGCGTCGCAAAACCATACTCACTCACTCTTTATATATATAGATTCTTCGGTACCTCGTGTCATCTTGGTGTAGTGGTTAGAGCGTCCGCCCGGAGAGCGGAAGGTCGCGGGTTCGATCCCCGACCGCGTCATACCAAAAGACGTTAAAATATGGTACTTGTTGGTCCCTGCCTGACGTTCGGCATTAATGGGTACAACAAGGACTGGTCGGCTTGGAGTCAGTATAATGTGTCTGAGTGTCATGCGTCACTGCGGCACGTCGTCATATGAGCGAAATATTCTCAAGCACGACGTAAAACCCAATTTCACCTCACCTCACCTCGTGTCATCTCTATATGATGGGGGCCGGAGGGGTAGCCTAGTGGTTAAAGCATTCGATCGCCACGCCGAAGACCCGGGTTCGATTCCCCACATGGGGACATTGTGTGAAGCCTATTTCTGGTGTCCCATGCCGTGATATTGCTGGAATATTGCTAAAAGCGGCGTAAAACCATACTCACTCACTCACTTAGAACCTATCAGTTAACCTCTCATGAAGGTCAGGGGTAGAATTGTTTTCAGCAACCCATGCTTATCGTAAAAGGCGACTAACGGGATCGGGTGGTCAGGCTCGCTGACTGGGTTGACACATGTCATCGTATCCCAATTGTATAGTTCGATGCTCATGCTGTTGATCACTGGATTGTCTGGTCCAGACTCGATTATTTACAGACCGCCGCCATATAGCTGGAATATTGCTGAATGTGGCGTGTAACAACCAACAACCTATCTGTTAACCTTTCCAGATCCCTACTACGAAGTCCCTACTCCTCAACTCCCGATATATTGATTGTTGATTATTGTTTCGAACGGATATTTACACCCCAAAACAAGAATGAAACAGTGGAGATGTTTCTGTCGTTTTCGGTATTCTTCGTTAAATGCAGAAATTAAGACATTTTTTCTCTCTTTGAAACGTGGAAATAGAAACATTTAATATCTTTGTATACGCCTTACAAACCAGACAAATATACACCCATTGTGCACAATCACAAAACACCTATGTCAGAAGATGAGGTGACGCCATACACGGCGTGGGGCAGCCAGGGAGTCTGGGGTGGGGAGGCTAGCTCGTGCGTCGACAACACGTGGTTGACAAGGCTATAAGACGATACAAGGTAAATGTGGGTATACTATGTCAAAGATATTTATACCCATATGACCACGTTGTAGTTGTATAAAGCGGGGAAACCTAAAATGATACTGCATAAATGAATACGACAGACAAATCAACTTGAACAAATTTGGAACGACTACATTTGGAATTGCCCTTTCGGGACAGTTCGAGATAACGGTAAATGTTGTATTTGAACATTAATAGGACACACACAGGGACACGCACGCACAGATGCATAACCTTAAAACGTAGAGGATACTCGGAAACAACTTTAATTTCTAAAATTGTAAAAAGTTATTAGTTTCCAGTGATAATTGTATGATTATATAGAACGAACTGGGAACGAATGACACCCAGTATCGACAGAGATCTTGATGAGGTTAGTGATGAGATGGTAAATTTCAAACATGACGTTTTTGGATCAGTGGTGCCTAAAACCGCTACGATTTGTCAAACTAGGCATATTGCACATGAATCTCCCAGTTTCGATTCCACTCCTTTTGCAGCACCTGCTCAAGTTCAGCAAACTTGGTTGGCGGCGTACTGGGTTTGTCCGAACCAGTCGCATGGTCGAATCATCAGAGACTGTGAAGCACTGAACGCATTGATGACTGCTGCCCATCCCCATCATTCCAATAAACCCTCGCTACTGTGAGAACTGACAGGTTAACCGTTAGTGAAAAATCTCTTCCCTTTAAATGTCATCAGTTTCAAGGCCAGTTCCCAGTTCTCCAAAAATAATAATAATTCATTTATATAGCGCCTAGTATCCATCTGACTAGTTGATCACTGGATTAGTATTACCCCGGATAACCCAAGCTGCCTGTTAGGCGTTAGAAGGTTATAGTCACCTGACTTTATCCAACCTGGTACCCATTTTCTGCTGGGTGAACAGGGCAATTTTGAACAAACTCACTTGCCTAAGGTGAGACCACATGTATCACACGTGCTTCGTTGTTGGGCAGGACTGAAATCCTAGAATCTCTCTGGAGTCAAGCAACACGGTCACCCATCCAAGGACTCTCCGAGCTCGACGTTGCTTAACTTTAACTGATTCGTGACCTGAGCTCTACGCACAGGACCACACACCGCCACATGCATGCATGATCATGCGTATTAGGGCTGTGCAATATTACCGGTAAACCGGTATATACCGGTACAGTATCTCGCGATACGGTTATCGCGATATGGTTCAGATTCTGCAATATATTGGGTCACCTAGAGTTAGCTCCCTTTGAATTATCTGCCCTTGACTTCCATGGCAACAATATGTGCTCTAAAAGTGCCAAATATACTTTTATTTTTGTTTGTTTCATGTAACATTTTACAAGTGGAAGTATCTTTGTAAGTGGCTCCAAAAGAGCCAAATATTCTGCCACGTTTTGTGGAATTGAATGGTTTGATATGTGATAAGTTGGAGGAATTAAGTGGCCTCAAATGAACCGATTTTTTATTAGTAGAGCCTCTGGCTCTGAGTGACCATTTCAAAATTCACATCATTTTGTTATTTTTGTTTGTTTCATAATGGGACATATGTTACCAATTAATCATAAAGGCCTAAGTCTTAAACTTTTTGTAGCACTGGATCTTAGTGATTGGATTTCACAGGAGATTTTACCCTCAAATACTTCACCTAAATCATGTTCTTGTTTCATTTTGCAATAGTTCATGTTAACACATGTTTATATTGGAGTTTAATCTGAATGAATCACTGACATACAGTAACAATAATTACATGCTGCATTGAAGTGCATTCTGTTGAAGCAAACAACACTGACCATGGAAATCATGTTATACTATTGCCTTCATCATTATGTTCGCAAAGCTATGTTAAAGTACTCCAATTAAACATTCCACATTAAGGCTCTAGACCATTTTATTTATCTGTAGACCATTGGCATACAGCCATACACAATGGAGACGGGGAGCCTGAAAGTATGGTGTAACAGCAACTAAGAAGACGATGTCGCACACAGAGAGCTATTATGAATTTATTGTGTACGCACTTGGGCAGAAACCTTCCAGTCAATATACCACAATATGTATTGCAATATCTCTGAAGTTATTGCAATATATCGCAATATGAAAATCAGGGCAATATCCAGCCCTAATGCGTATCATGTGATACGAGTGATTGCGTGAGTGTGGTTTTACATATTTTAGCCATATTCCAGCAATTTCACAACCCGGGACACTAGAAGTTGGATTTGCGCAGTTTACCCATGTGGGGAATCAAACCTGGGTCTTCGTCGTAATGAGCGAACGCTTTAACCACTAGGCTACTCCATCGCCCCCTCATACGAACAGAGACAGGAGATTCAAGCTAATCATTAGTAAACCCACGTTGATAGACCGACTTTCAATGTCAATGTCGCGACAAAATATCTCACATTGCAGATATAAAGACTATACTTAAGAAATAGAGATCGATGAACACCGTGCTATAAATCAACACAGAGACAATAAGCCACGAGGCGTATATTGTATGTCATCTATTTCTTATATGAGATTCCAGCCTTATGTACAATCTCTTCACGCATGTTAACATACTGCACAATCTTTAGAAATATGTTAACCTTACTTTTATAATGATGACTGCCGGAATACAATCTGACCTTGGCAATGTCAAACAAGTCCAGACAAGTCCAGTTTCATTCCATGAAAGGCGATGGGGTGGCCTTAAGTTTGGTACTTCCCACATATTCTGACAACTACCACGTCCTTTACCTGAACTTTTTCTCCCAATATCGATTATCGTATCTCTCCAACTTATTGATGCGACCGTTCGGCCATTTTTGTGCGTTGCCTAGCTACAGCTAAGGGAAACAACTCACTGGACACTTCCCTTCTAACAATTAACGTCGTCAAATTTACGAGGTTATCTTGTTACGTTCATGTTCGAATCTCCTGAAATGGCATCAGTGTTTAATCATTAAATAAACCAGGATTCCTTCTTCATTGTTCCTTGTGATTTATCTCGTATCCATCTTATATATAGGCATAAACGACATACCCGGCCATGAGCAATGTACTGACAGTTTTATTATCAACACTACGCGTGACGAAACATGGGAAACATATAGGCTTATGACAACATATGACAAAAATTTGACATGGCACATGTTAATCACATTTGACTTCATTCGTTATACGTAATATATATATATATATATATATATGTATATATATGTATGTGTGTGTGTGTGTGTGTGTGTGTGTGTGTGTTTGTAGGTGTGTTTGTAGAGCGGCAGAGAGAGACAGACAGACAGACAGACAGAGAGACAGAGAGAGATGAGGCATGGATATAGATGGAATTAACTGAATTATAAATTTGAATCATTCAGTGTTACTTTAAAATAAGCCATGAAAAGTTTGTTTCGTAAGCTGTGGCGCTATTTGAGGGTACATATAAAAAAACTTATATCCGAAATTCCATCTATCATTCAATGGCTGTAACATCCCAATTCATCATTCAAAATAACCTAAGTAAGAACATTATTATCGTGCATACGAAATCATTCAAATTGAGGATAAACATCACATATCCCAGAAGTCATCTTTCTCGACTTCCGGTAGCTTCTCCTCCGATGAGAACGGAGTGTCGCTATCTTTGAACAATGGCCCCTCCACCTGGCCGAGTTCCTCCATCCAGCGCTCAAATGACGTCCCCGAACCACTCCTTCGATGGCCCTCAGGGCTAACGCTTGTTCGGGAACTCACCGGGGTGTTGGGGCGCTTTTTTCTGGCGTCATCAGGGTAGTCCTCTGCCAGCAGAAACAGAACATGTTTTGGTCAGTTGAATATTAGTAATCAAAACAAACACAATGTTATGCGGTAGTGAGGTGGTAGATACTGGTATCACGATGGAGTTTCGGATGTTCAGCTTGCAGTGGTCACAGTTTTCAGCCTAATAACGTAATTTTGTGGTCTAACAGTTCTTTTGCCAGGCAGTTTAGTTGCTGCCTGTATGTGGCAGACTAGCGATTATCTACGAACTACATCACATGAAGGCGTAGGGGTGGTGTTTAGGGATTTCAGGGTCAGTTGTGGGGTGCCTTAGGATGGATGGGGTAGGTTCAAAGAATGTAATGGAGATTAACTAAAGGTAAACCTTTACAAACAATATGATTAACTCTATTCGTGATATATTTTCAACAAAATGACGCCATTACTGAAGGCGATTAGACAAATTATAGAATGAAGCCCTCCATTAAATATGCCGGATCCCCTTCTTCGAGAAGAACGTCCATGTTTACAAACCTTATTTGTTTACATAGGGCTGTGTAGAGGAGGTGAGTGAGTGAGTTTAGCTTTACGCCGCTTTTAGCAATATTCCAGCAATATCACGGCGGGGTACACCAGAAATGGGCTTCACACCTTGTTCCCTTGTGAGGAATTGAACTTGGGGCTTTGGCGTGACGAGCGAACGCTTTAACCACTAGGCTACCCCACCGCCCGAGGACGGGAAGACATAGGACAATGAAGAACTGACATGTGACATCGTATCTTATACATGTTCCTGCTTATATACTGCCTGGCAGAAGACAGTAAACATACGTGTTTGAGGGTGACTGCGTATTCTCTGGGAGAGAATTTGTTTTAAAACTGCCGGACAATCCAGTGATTGTAACACATGCTATATTTGGGACTACACTATCTCAGTAAAGTACAGATTCTAGTACTTTTGTTGAGTTGAGTCTTATCCGGGATTCGAACCCACACCCTAAGAGTCAGGCACCTAATCACCAGCACACAAAGTCAGCCGTCTAACCCACTCAGCCACCGTTGCTTACACAAAAATGAAAGGTCGGACAACATGAGCATCGATTTACAGAAATGGGATACGATGAAATACATAAAACTAGCCAGCAAACCTGACCACCCAATTCTTTTAGTCGACTCTTATCACAAACATTGGATGATGAAGACAAATTCTAAACCGGGTCTTTAACGGGATTGGGTCAACGTGAGATTGGTATTAGGACAGTGCCTCACCGGGGCTTGCGTTGAAGAGCCACTGAGCCTGTCTGGAGTAACGACTTCCCACCACCGACCCCTTCACCTCTAGACGATCCCCGTCGTCGTTGTCGTTGGAGACGCTGCTGCTGCAAAAGGAGGAATGGGACCGAGCAATATGGTCCTTGTGACCGCGGAGTCTGGAGCTGGTTGTGCTTAGCTTGATTTCCATCGAAGATGTCTGGCTGTTGTTTGAGGCTGATCCGGAGGAGCCCTCGGAGGAACTGATGGATGACGATTTGCTCGAATCGGAAGGCTCCGCTGTTGGGAGTTTTAGCTGTAGATATGACGTAGCAGGCGCCATTCCCATAATTCCTGGTTTGGTAATGAACCTCGTCATCGGGGCGTTTCCTTCAAAAGTGTGTGGTATTTTCTGAATTACATATGACTTCTGTCTTTCGATTGGCTGCTCAACACCGGATGTCGGTTGCTGCTGCGTGTCACGTGACACTGTCCTGAGCAGATTTTCCCATTCGTCATTGTTTCCGGTTAGGTCGGACTCCTCGTCAGAACACTCAGGAACCCCTATGGAGGACAAATCAGCGAGTGAGTGAGTGGTATGTTTTGTTTCCTAAATAATTATATAGGGCTGTACATTGGCAAATAAATTGTATAGCAATATATTGCAATTCAGGTACCCGTATTGCGATATTTTGGGAACTTAAGTGTTTGACCGTAGGTAACACAAATTGTACATGTCAATCCTACTTTCTACATTATAAGTCCCTAAACATGCATATTATGATTCTGATAACAGCAATCTCAAAATTTGGTTGCATAATCAGGGATCCTATTTTCTCTTTTATACAATTTATAGTCCAACACTACAGTATGCCGTTTTGTCGTTGAAAATAAAAGAAAGAAAACATTTGCTGTCAATTAGAGTCTGTGTAGATTTTAACTTAAACCATAAAGATAATCACAAAAACTCCATATATGTTCTTTACCCAATATAGAAAGAATATTGCAATACGTGTCGTCTGAAAAGCGTATTCCTTAATACCGGTATAATGGTAATACCGTGCAGTCCTATAATTGTATAATATTGTTATGCAGGGGCTTCAGTACTGGTGGGGTATTGGGAAATAAATGGTTTCTTTTATTTAACAGTATAGCAGTCATATCAATTGCAAGGTCTGTCTACTTGTGCAGGTCTGAGACGGTGACGGTTTGTGTGTGTGTGTGTGTGTGTGTGTGTGCGTGCGTGCGTGCGTGCGTTGGAATGTTTGATTGATTAAAAACGTCCATCGGAAATATCACGCTTAATTGTACAGTATGACCGGTCCAATATGTATGAAACATATGTTTTAGATTACAGAGAAATGATCTGCCTTTCCAAGGTATACACTTTCAAATACACCTTTCCACATTGTTAATCTAAGGTTTTAGAAAGAGACAAGATTCGGAGAAACCTGTTGCAGACACCTGGTGAGGGGATGAGTGAGCGATCAGTATGTAATACGATTCCATATGAGTTACATCATAATTCTATATTTGTCAAGAGAAAATGAGTGTGGGTTGACGCCACAAATCGCAATATTCCACAAGATCGCGGAATATCACAAATAATCTAAATAACAGTAGCCAAGTGGAGAATCAATCCCGCACCTCCGGTTTTAACCACTAGACTATGCCCTAGTAATGAAGTAAACGATGTTGACGACGATGACAACGACGACAAACAGGATTGACACAAATTAATCTTGCACGATCTAATTTGCTGTGTTTGACTTCGATAATCCATAAGACGCAGTGTATATTTCATGTGTCCATGCAGATGAACGGTGTACTGGGTCAAGCACTTAGCAAGTGCCTGGATGTTATGACGCACGCAGCCGTAAGATATGTGCAATGATTACTTATCGTCCACATAAATCAGATGCTAAACACACGGATGACAGTGTGTACCTTCGTTCCTTGTAGCTCCAAATGCCAGCGATGAAAATAAATATCTGATTCGTAGGATTTATCTTTCTAATTATTAGCGAGTGGTTTTACAAGACAGCAAATTATGAGATTGTTGCCTTACAGCACTTCCAGAACTTGTAGAACTTAGAAATTGTGAAAACAGAGAGTGAGTGAGTTGGGTTTAACGCCATTTTTAAAATCTACTAGTAAATCACAGGGTGTCAGATTCAAGCTAGGTGAAAGCCCAAGGTCATGTAGATCTCAGACGATGGCCAATTTGGGAGAGCCCACGAGTGCGATAATGGGTGCGCGTATATATACTCTCTGTAATACCTCTATCGGTGATGAATATCATGCAATTTTAGAATGTCCCTATTTTGTTGATTCAAGACACCAATTGACTAAACCTTGCTTTTACAAAAGGCCAAATTCTGTTAAATTTTGTCAATTGTTTCCAAAATGAAAACTGTGTTTTTTGTAACACTGTCATGATCAGGTACAAGTCACTGGGAAAGTGTATTATAAATTCACTTTTTCTGTAAAATATATATGAAAAAATAGATAGATAGATAGATATATACATGTAGATCTTTATTCATGAAGAATGTAGGTCTCCGGCCCATGTTCATACATGTGGTTAGTCAGCATATGATGTATATGACAATATATATATATATATATATTTCTAAGATGCCTAGCGGTTAGAACAATCGAAAAAAAAATACATTATCAGACAATAAAGGTATAGTTTTTTGATGACGTAACAATTGAATGACGTTATCCCGTCACTGCGCCATTCTAGTGTGCCCCCTCGTAATCGAACCATTTTACATTACGTCACAATGTAAGCGACGTCACGATGCATGTCAGTTGTCATCGCCTCGTACGGCCTCCTACAGTAAACTACACCGTTGCATCCAGTTTCTTAGTTTGGTGTTGCTTCACGCAGCTAACATCACTGGTGGAAACATTACGTTTATGTTTTACGACGGTTACAATGTGTCATTTCGACTCACAAGTTTTCAGCGAAACGGTAACGTTCGTAATGTTTACATTCCCACAATGCAATTGTGGAATGTCGCTTGACTACTCAACTTCCTCTGGATGTACTGATCTATGGTTTACGTTAATGACAGATGTAATTAAAATAATTAAGAGAAGATGTTAAATCCGAACGTAAACCGTCATCAAACTGTTATCATTTGCTTTTTTCTGGTAACGTTCGTCTTAACGTAGGGGGCAGACACATTAATAGAACAGCGCGCCAGTTAGCCCTGTGCGAGGATTTTTAATTTAGGTCACCGACACCGTCGTTTGTTTTCTGCCTTAAATTAATCGTAATTATCTTTAGAAAGTATTAAATTTGGCATCTTAGAAAAGAAATTCACTTCGCCCTACCACCATGTATAGTGTAATAAAACACACTTTTGCCCTGAACTATTATAGTTAAAGCACGAGGACGCTTGCGTGACTACATGGTGGTAGAGCAAAGTGTATTTCTTAAATAAAACACACTTTTGAGCGAAGTGTATTTCTTAAGCAAGCTGTGACCTTGTCGCTCTAGAATGTTGTCCATATTATGACGTCACAATATATGTGTAATGACGTCATACTGTAACCGCTACAATCTCCCTGAAGAGTAAAGAACGAAACATGTTGGAGAAAAAGGCATTCTGTTTTTATTTATCTATGCAATATTTATGACTGAACACCTGTACTATTTTGGACATTTTGTGCGTATATATATATATATATATATATATATATATATATATATATATATATATATATATATATATATATATATATATATATATATATATATATATATATATATTTAGGACGAACGTTACCAGAAAAAGAAAAAATGATAACAGTTTGATGACGGTTTGCGTTCGGATTAAATATCTTCTCTGAATTATTTTAATTACATCTGTCATTAACGTAAACCATATGGGGCAATATGAACGTTGCATTTCTACTACCAGCGTAAGTTTAGATCAGTACATCCAGAGGAAGTTGAGTAGTCAAGCGACATTCCACAATTGCATTGTGGGAATGTAAACATTACGAACGTTACCGTGTCGCTGAAAACTTGTGAGTCGAAATGACACATTGTAACCTTCGTAAAACATAAGCGTAATGTTTCCACCAGTGATGTTAGCTGCGTGAAGCAACAGCAAACCAAGAAACTGGATGCAACGGTGTAGTTTACTGTAGGAGGCCGTACGAGGCGATGACAACTGACATGCATCGTGACGTCGCTAACATTGTGACGTAATGTAAAATGGTTCGATTACGAGGGGGCACACTAGAATGGCGCAGTGACGGGATAACGTCATTCAATTGTTACGTCATCAAAAAACTATACCTTTATTGTCTGATAATGTATTTTTTTTTCGATTGTTCTAACCGCTAGGCATCTTAGAAATAGAAATATATATATATTGTCATATACATCATATGCTGACTAACCACATGTATGAACATGGGCCGGAGACCCAAAATGGTTTAACATTGGTTTGTACTTGTCTATGAAGTAGTGTTCTTTTAAAATTCGTTTTACTTTGTCCGAATTTTGAACTTGATAAAAAGGAAATATTGTAAATTTAACATCGTTTCCTTTCGCACAGACATCTAGATGTTCACTCAGTGGGAGAGAGAGAGAGAGAGAGAGAGAGAGAGAGAGAGAGAGAGAGAGAGAGAGAGAGAGAGAGAGAGAGAGAGAGAGAGAGAGAGAGAGAGAGAGAGAGAGAGAGAGAGAGAGAGAATAATAACTAATGAACATGTTATTCTGAAACAGTTTGCATTATATATATACATGGCCAGCTTTCTAACGACAATAACATCCGTTGATGCCAAAAGCATGTTATGCCGTTGTCTTACGGCCTGAAAAGCAATAAAGTTCTGTTCTTTTCTGTCCATAGTTTCCTGGTGTACACAAGGGACGCAACTCTGCATTGCATTCTCGCCTCCAGTTACATTCGACCGCGAGAACACGGAACCCGAAGCGTATCTCGTTTGATGCTGTTGCTTTCTCGTTTCATGTTATCGTTTTCTCGCGGCCGTAATTGAAGACGAGAATTCCAAGTCTCTCTCAGGACCACCATACAAACACGATTATAACGACCAATGTTTTTAGAAAGATGTAAAATATATTTCAAATGGAGATTCCATAAAATCGTTAAGAACAAACCTGTAAATTCAGCCATTGCGTGACTACCTGCACTTTTTTGTAAGTGGAATGACAATTAAATATATTTTAATTCAGGGAACTGTGAAGTTGTAACATAATGTTTTTTGCGTCCCTTCGTGTCAAGAAATAATCCTAGAACAAAACGCCCTCTCAAGTTTTCAGGATATTGCTGGGATCTGCGAAAGTATTGATCGGAACTGATTGTCAATATAAATATACCAAACAAGAGCAAAACAAGGCTGCTGACAAAATGGTCGGGCCACTTTGTCTTGATCTCAAATAACAGAGCAAAAAGACTTTACGAAACTAAAAAGTAATAAACCCAATTATTTTTAACACATTTGCCAAGTACAGAAATATCAAAACAAGGAATACAAATGGCCTTGCTGTATGACGTCATAAGTTAAAAAGACAGACTTGT